ACTCCCCCTCAATGGGGATTCTATGCGCTCGGCTAGAGGCTGGATTGAACGAGAAGGTTGAGATGACCCTATCCGCCTTAATGCGGGTTGGGCGAAGGCCGTTGAGGCTCATCTACGTATTTCTCCCCTGGCTCTTGTTCGACGCGAGGCGGCCTCGGACCCTTCGTGGGCCAGCCTTCAAACCTCGGTCTCGTGATCTTGGATCGAGTGGCTCGAGCCCCTGAGCCCCTTGGGGTCTGCTAGGGGTTGGTCATGTTTCGCGTGTGACCCCAGCCTCAGTTTCCACAACCAGAGGGGCTGAGTTAACGATACTTGCCTCAACGGCTCGAGTGTCGCGCTCAATGAGCTCGCTAACGGGTATGTTTATGTAGGATCCAGGTCCATCATTTGCTGACAGGGTCGGTAGACCCCTCATGTGGCATTCCACTGCTTCTTAACCTGCCTCTCGGCAGATGCCCGAGCCGTTCGATAGGCTGAGGTGGCCCCCATTGGCCTCTCCTCGATGGAGATTCTGTGGGTTTGGCTCGAGGTTAGAATCAAACGAGAAAGGTTGAGATGTCCCTGTTCGCTTCTGAGTGGGGTCGAGCAAGGCCGCTGGGGCTCATCACGGTTTTTCTCCCCTGGCTCTGGTTGACACGAGGCGGCCTCGAGCCCTTCACGGGCCGGCCTTCGAACCTTGGTCATTTGCCGCTCATATCGAATGAGGCAACTGTCGCTTCATGATGTGACACGAAGCGTTGAGATGCAGCGATGATATGGGATTAACGTACGATTTGATTGAAATGAAAGCGAGGGTCGGTAATGTTACCTCGGTGGCATGAGTGATGAGGAGCTCTTATCGGACATGTCTGTGCGGGGTTCAGGTCTGACATTTGCGATGGCGCCGGCGTGACCTGCACGAGCATCGCAATTTGTTGTTTGTCTCTCGGTGGCGATCTGGGCTATTCGATCGTTTTTAGGTGACCTGACAGCTTCTGCTTGAAGGAGATTCTATAGGAGGACCCCTCTGAACCCTTCTTGAGAAGGCAGATGCTAAAGATTGGGGCGCGGGGAACTATGAATTCGATAATGCCAGTGAACAAAAACACCATAGCCACTGGGGCGTAGGGTCTAGCGGTTCATCCAATTTTACTCAAAGTTTTACACCCACAACGCATGTCTTTGGTTTTTAAACGTAAGGAGGGGTTAGGCGACGAGGGTGTCTAAACAAGCAGACACTCTCGGCGGCCTCCGAGCGATGTCTGTGCCCCTGCCGTTGCTGGGGTCAGAAGCTCGGTAATGAAATTAACACGCAGAGTAAGTAAACAGAGGTGCTTATCTCTCAGCGGTCGTTCATTCATCGTTTTACCTGGGCCGTCTGATTGACCTAGGAGGCCCGGTGGGCCCCCTGGACGGCGGTTCCATTGTCGGGTTATTCCATGGTCTTACCTGAGGAAGCGAAGAGTCGCCTGCATGTAGGTGCGCCCTGATTCTCACGCCCGACGCGCGATAGTGGTGGGCCATTCCCAGGCAATGTCCTATTTGACCAGGCGACATCTCATCGACCAGAGTGTGTCCTATCGGTCAAGCGCGTCCCCTCGGATTCCCGTCAATATCAATTTCCCATTTGCATTGAATAGGGGAAGGAAGAGAGTTTTCCGTCCCAACCTTTCTCCTTTCCTCAGCCACCGTGCCTCTTCCTTAAATAGGGAGGGGGAGGGGACTTCTTGTCCCATTGCATCGCCTATTCCTGAGCTGCTACCTCTCCTCCTTTCTCCTTCTCGTTGAGCGCGTTCGTATGTCGCGGAGATTCCTAAGTGAGCAAGGGTAATGCAAGGGGGAGGAGAACTCATAGATCCGTTTGTGAATCCGAAGTGTGATGTTGAGCTAGAGGTCATCCAACATAGATGAGATGGTGCTGGCTGCCTTTGCTGAGAAGGGGCCGCTGCTGCCGAATGAGGAGGCGCACTAGAGGGTGCTGAGCGTCGTCGGCTTTGCCGTCGTTCGTGGCGGCCTTTCTTCGGCGGGAAATGCCCCCCGCCAAGACGCCATTGTTAGGGTTGCAGCTGATCACGATGGCGTAGTCCCTGGATGCCTCGACGAAGGTGTCATTGTCAGGGTTGTGGCTAATCACAATGGCATAGTCCCTAGACGCCTCGGCGAGGGCACCATAGTCACCGACATGGTGCTCAACATTGCAGATCACGGCGCCCTCGAGGATCCCGTGGAGCGGAAGGACGTCATCATTGGAGAGTGTGGCGTGGCGACCGTAGTAGCGCTCATAGTAGAACTGGTCAGAAACTATAATCGAATAAGTTGTGGGGGAGCCCTCGAGTGAATAGTCTTTTGTATTTATGAATACATTAGTCCTTTTTATGATGAAATCACTTTGTAAGCGATGAATTTGTGCAGAAAATGAACAACCTTTTGTTACGGCAAATAGCTTTTCAGCTCCTCTCCCTCTTTTTGTAGAAGAGGTTTGGTGCCTTCCAACCCTTCCCATGGTTAAGGTCGCAAAAAACTTGGAGCGCGGGCGAATCAATTCTGATCATGCTGGTGAGCGAGGAGGCCGTAGCCACTGGGGCATGGGTTTCCCGCAGTCCTACCAGTTATACTTAGATTTTGTTCTCAAAATCCTAGCCCTTAGGACTTGTCATGAGAAAAGATGGAAAACTCAGAGAATGTTTGCAAAGATAACACAGAGAGTGTTTGAAAGATAAACGTACTTATATTAGCCCCTGAGTGAGGTCCGACCCCTCGCAATTTGCAGGGGACGGATGTCACTAAAGATCAGGGATTTCTAAAGACAAAAACTGATAAGGAAAAGTATGTGTTTATTTAAGGGTAAAACGACGTAGCTGCTCAATGTTCTAGGCGTTGGTGAAGACCTCGCCGTCGATGGTTTTCATCTTGTAGGCCCCTGGCTGAAGTACTTCCGCGATGACGTATGGCCCCTCCCAGGGTGGGGAGAGCTTGTGGCGGTCCTTATTGCTCTACACGAGGCAGAGAACCAGGTCCCTGACGTTGAAGGCTCGATCCCGCACCCATCGGCTATGGTACCGACGCAGCGCCTGTTGGTACTTGGCTGAGCGGAGGAGGGCGATGTCGCGAGCTTCGTCTAGCTGGTCCATGGCATCTTTGTGGGATTCCTTGGCTCTCTGTTCGTCGTATGCTATGATTCTTGGCGCTCCATAGTCGAGGTCTGTTGGGAGGACGGCCTCGGAACCATAGACCATGAAGAAAGGCGTGTAGCCGGTGGCCCGGCTGGGAGTTGTCCTTAGGCTCCAGAGCACCACAGGGAGCTCGGTGACCTAGCATGCGCAGAACTAGTTCAACCTAGTACAAGCACAGCCGACAGCCATAGTGAACCAGCTTGATGATCGCATCAATAAAGAGGACCCAGTAGTGGATGAGTTTCCAGATGTGTTTCCTGACGACTTGCTAGGTATGCCACCTGACCGTGACATTGAGTTTATTATTGAATTATTACCTGGAACTGCACCTATAGCTAAGTGTCCATATAGAATGGGGGTTAATGAACTAGAGGAACTCAAGAAACAAATAAAGGAGTTATAGGAGAAAGGTTTCATTCATCCTAGTTCGTCACCTTGGGAGCACCGGTTATATTTGTTGACAAGAAGGATGGTACTCAGAGAATGTGTGTGGATTATTGGTCCCTAAATGAGGTTACTATCAAGAACAAGTATCCGTTGCCTAGAATTGATGACTTGTTTGATCAGTTGAGAGGAGCTTGTGTTTTCTCTAAGATTGATCTTCGTTCTGGTTATCATCAACTGAAGATTCGTGCAACTGACATAATTAAGACACACGATGGAGGATCTGGTTATCATCAACTAAAGATCTGCATGAAGCTAATTCGAACGAAAGCTGCTACAAGCAATCTGGGCCACACGATGGAGGATCGGACGGCTGGAAACAATTCGGGTGACGTGGATGGCCTGAGCATCGGCTAAACTAACCTGCTTTGATATATTAGAATAATAAAATTCTTCCTATCACACACAATTCATGTGTCCCTTTCGAGAGACTCATGGGCTCCTCATCACCGAGTCCCACAACAACCAAGCCCACCGCCATTGAGCCCCATAGCAGCCAAGCTCATAAACAACAAGCGCCACGCCAACAAGTACATAGTAGCTAAACCACCACTGTGCTTAGCCCACTTCTTGTGCACAAAGGAGCCATAGCCCCCATCGCCCTCGACACTGGATTCCCTAGCAAGGTTCTAGCGTGCACGGATCTACTGTGATGAGTTGGGAGAAGAGGGAGAGGGAGGAGGGAATCGGATCTTCCATGAGTGGGAAGAGAGGTTTGGGAGATGAGAGAAGGGTGAGAGAGGCAGCTGGTGAGAACTAAAAGGGAGAATGATGAGTGTGAGTATGGGGCGTGGGTGAAAATAAGAGTAGAGAAGGGCAAATGGGTTGGGCTTGTGATTTCTAGTGGTGGTCCTCTTAAGAGTTCTGTCTCTGAAAATAGACATCACTTTTAGAGGCGGCCCTTTATATGTTAATTGATTTTTCATATGCGTTAATATTTTAAGTGTATCTATAAATAAGCTATACGTCTCCGGAAATAGTTGGAATTTTAGGAGAGTATGACATTTTAACTGTCCTCTAAAATAAAAAAGGAGTCTCATAAAACTCCCCTCCCCGTCCCTAAACTCGTTTGTGGCCGGGGACATATTATCCACGTCTCCATCCCCGCACGGGGATCACAGCCCTCAACATGATACGTGGAGGAAGAAAACATCTTTCCCAATTTCTTTTTTCTTTGTTCAATTCTGAACAAAAAAGAAAAGGAAGAAAGGGATGTCCTAATTTTCCAATGAGTAAGCATTTAAATACTTTTTAATTTGAAAGCCTGCGGGACCTCTAGTAAGAGAAACTTTATAATTGAGAATTTAGTAAGAAACTATAGTGATTAGTGAGCACATTACACATCATGGTGAATTCCATGTTTATTTTGCAACTAATATACAACAAGCAATAGGTGTGCCTACACTACCTGGCAGAAGGGTGTGAAATAGTACCCGAAGTGTAAGAGTAACCAGAGCTTGCATCTAAGAAAAAAGTTGGTCTTGCAGCAGCAGGCAGAGAACTAGTATCAACATCGTTGAGCATCACCATGACATCCGACATCGTAGGTCGATCCATGGGATTCTGTTGAAGGCACTGCAGGCCAATGTTAACGCATTTTAGCACCTCAGTCTCTGAGTAGTTTCTCCCTAGAGAATCATCTATAATCTCTACAAGCGTTCCCTCCGTCCAGTGCTTCCATACCTAGCATTGATTTCATGTGTTCACAATCAGCAACAATAATATATTGCAAGTAGTCTTACAGGCAAGATAGTGTGTTTATGGGCAAACACTCACAATGCTTATAATATCCTCATTTTGCTCGTCGAAGTAATGCCCAACGTTTTTCTGTCCTGATACAATCTCTATAACAAGGATGCCGAAACTAAATACATCTGATTTTGTGGAGTATTGTCCACGCATCATGTACTCGGGAGACATGTAGCCACTGCAACAAGAAGAATTAGCAACATGGTCAATTAGATTGCATTATGTATTTAAATCAAACATTAAACGATTAACTACTAGATGATAATTATTGATTACAATGTCCCGACGATGTTGTTTGTGACGTCTCGAGTCTGATCTTGCCCAAAGAGCCTGGCTAGGCCAAAGTCACCAATCTTAGGGTTCATGTGTGAATCCAACAAAATGTTGCTCGCTTTCAAGTCACGGTGGACTATCTTCTTCTGAGAGTCTTCATGAAGATATTGCAATCCACGTGCAACACCTTCAATTATGTTGAATCGTTTCCTCCAATCTAGTCGTCTTTTCTCCTCATGATCTAAATGGCAACCAAAATTTAAGGCTACTACAAGTACAGAAATGTTGTGTATATTCTTTGGAAAGAATATTTCTAGTACCAAAAAGAATATTGTCGAGGCTTTTGTTGGGCATGTACTCATAGACAAGCAACCTCTCTCCCTCTTCTAAGCAGAAACCCTCCAATCGAACAAGGTTCTTGTGATGAAGTTTGGCCACCAAAACTAGCTCGTTTTTTAGTTCTTCTAGTCCTTGGTCTGAACCCTTTGGTAGCCTCTTCACAGCCACTTCCCGTCCGGAAAGATGTCCCTACGTCGTAGATTTTATTATGGCCATGAGTTAATTAATGAGCATAATATAAAATGCTAAAATGTTCCATAAGTTTTAAGTATTATAAATCATAATACTTGATATAACTTTTGTTAAAAACATGAGTACAAAGCCCATGATTTATATATTTGTTTGTTTCATATTTGGACAATCTGGTATGAACCAACTATCTCATGTACATTGTACAGCAATCACACGGACTCTTTTACAGAAATCTTGCTATAAACTTGCAAAGGAACTATTAATGGAGAGGGTGTCATCATACCTTGTAAACTGCACCGAATCCCCCTTCACCTAGTTTATTGCTTTCATCAAATTTATTTGTTGCTACTTGTAGCGATGACAGCGATAACAATATCGACTTGATGCTTTCAAAGTCCTCAGCCATATAAGCTAGTAAATTTGCACCGATTTAGTTTGAGTGCTTAAAGACCAAAAGGTATTATACTTGATACCAAACTATACAAAGGACTTACTTCGGTGGGGAATATTTGTTCCTTGAGATGTTCTCTTCTTACAAACAATCCATATGCAAAGGACTACGACGGCTATTACAGCAACAAATACTATTGGCAATATAATTCCGAGAAGTTCGCCAACTGAAATTTTTTTACCTGTGATTTTGCCAAAAAAAAAGAAATTTCAATTTAGGTTTGTCTAGCAATTGATGTGTCAACTTCCTTTTGTCTTGCTCACCATTGTGATGATGTTGTTCAATCTTACTATTACTAATTTTATGCTCCAATAGAGCCTCCAAGTCAATGTCATGGGAAAAAAACATCCTAGAAATGCTCATGATAGCCATTGAATCTATTTTGTTGTATTAAAAATTACACATCTCTGTCACTATAAAAAATACATAAAGTAGCACCTAAATTTGCATCTAAATTGTCCATATCTAAACACCCTAAATTTATATTCTATTACCCACTTATGTGATTATGAAAGATATCAGGGGTAGTTTATGAAAATACCAGGGAAATTATCTTTCATAATGACATATTGTGAGTAATTTAGATACAAATCTATGCAGTTATTTCAATTTTTTCATAATGGAAGAGGTAGGTAATTTTGGTATAATTTTTTTGAGACAAGGAGGTTTGTTTTGAATTATCTTTCCTAATGGTAAAGGTGGATAATTAGGAGTTATTTATGTAAAATTGGTGAGAATTAAGTAGTCGAGTTAATCTAGAGGAATAAGCAATTAAGCACTCACCTCCGGTGGTGCCCGGTACAACATCCGTGGGAGGCGCCGGCGCTGGAGCGGCCACCTCGCCGTTCATCTGCAGCCTCACCATCGGGCTGCCGGTGTAGAAGTTTGCTCCTTCGATCCTCAGGTTGCAGCGCGAACCGTCGAGCCTGGCGCCCACCTGCCTGCGGTCGAACTGGACGTCCCACCACTGCGCCAACAGGTCGTCCAGGCAGCTCCGGCACTGAGCAGGCGATATGTCCCCCGCGCACTGCGCCATGGACCAGATGCCCGTCGGGAGCTGCAGCTGCGGGTCGAGCCCCACCATCTGCCCCGTGGCGAAGTACTTCCTCGGAGACGACGACGACGACGACGGGGCGGAGCCGCTGTCCACCGCGTATTGCAGGGTGGCGTTGAGCAGCCTGGTGACGGCCCGTCGTCGTAGGCCGCGACGTCGACGCCCGCGGGGACGGTGTAGCCGATGAGGCCCACGAAGCCGGTGTTGTTGGTGGAGGCGAGGAAGTCCGTGGGGGCTATGCGGACGTAGCACTGGTTGTAGACGAGCGCGGCGTCCCGGGTGTGGTTGCAGACGCGGTACACGTCCTGGCCGGCGTTGGTGCCGCAGTCGAAACAGTCGGTGGGGCTGAGGTCGCCGCGGCAGAGTATGAGCCCGTAGACGGCGTCCGCGCCACCCACGCCGACGGAGCCCGTCGCGAAGAGGGCGGGCGTGTTGGACGCGTTCGTCTGGAGGGTGTGGATGAGCTGCTTGATGTTGTTGGCGTAGGCGCTGCCGGCCGAGTAGTTGCCCGTGGTGTCGTCGCACGTCGGCCACGGGCCCACCCACGGCTGCGCGGCGGCGGAGGGGAGAAGCGTGAGCGTGACGGCCGACGCCAGCAGCGCTGCTGCTGCTAGCAGGGCGCGGCCGTGCATGGCGCACGCGAAGGGAGGAGCCAGAGCCAGCGCAGCGCGGCGCAGGAGGGAGGATCGGTGAGCTGGAGCGATGGATGCAGAGAAACTTGGCAACTTGGCACGGAGAGGGGAGCTCAGAGAGGATGCAGCATCACCAGCGATGCATGCGTGGCAATGGCATCGGTAGCCGGTACAAGTATATGATAGCAGGCAGCTGGGTGTGGGTCTCCATATAACAGCGACTTGCTGACGACTCTTGCCGATGCGTTCTCTTTGCAAGTTGGAGGACGATCAAATGGTGAATTCCAAAAGGCAGAAGCTGACGGAAAGAGGGGCTGCTAGTTGCTTGGCCGGTTTCGCAGAAACCTGACCAGAGCAGCTGCATGCACGTGTTTCAACTTGGTAGTACTGATATTTGGTTTGTCTTACTAGCCGTGCTTTCTCAACCAAGAAATGTTATTTTTCTCTCACGATAAATCAACGTACGATACTTTTCAGCTTGTCTTTTTTAGCGAAACATAGCCCAGTCTCCGGTGACCAGAAGAGCTGCACTGGAAGCTGCTATCACGGACATTAAAAAAAGGGTATAGCTTGCCGGAAGAGAAGACAGCGGGCTGGTGAGTGGTGGTTTCTTCGGTCGCGGAGACTGCTACTGGTCGCACAAAACAAAGAGAGGTCAAGTCGTTGCAACTGCTTGTCTGTATACACGTAGAGTATGTTGAGAGTGTCCGCGCCATCTTCGAATCGTCACCTTGAACACGAGCCCCTTGGGTTGGGCGGCGGGGCAGCGGACGATCAACACGGCGCGCGGCGGCGTCAATGCGGACTGCGGACAGGATCAAGGCGCGCATGCATTCCCGCGACGCGACGCAACCTGAGCACCTGCGAACACGATACGCACTTGACGCCACACAGGCAGGCTGCAACACACTGCACACTGCACTGCCTTGTGTTTGGAAATGGATGCTACTCACAGGCTACAGCGTTTCTTCCCCTTTGGCAGCGGAATCGCGTCTCTAATTCCCCCGCATGGGCGGCCAAATCTTTTTAGTTTTTCCTTTTGGATGGAAGTCCCCCAGAACCGAACGGAACGCAACTTGTGAGAAGACGTGAGAGGGAATAATCTGTGATCACATATTTGCAAGCACATCAGCTACAATTTCCCCCTTTGGATGATGCCTACTGCCTAGCTTCTACTTTGCTTCAATAGAGGAAGATAGCCATCAAATTGAAAAGGTTGGATGGCTGAGAAAGATCTGTGTGAGATTGGTGTTAGAATGGCCAAACTTTTTAGTAACCACAATTACAATTGGTAACTACAGATCACACTGTGATGAATTGAACTAGTTGATCTGAACTACTACACATCAAGAAGTAAACAAGTAACAATGTGCAACTATAGCTCGTGCTATCTGGCAGACAGATGCGTAATAGTACATGAATTATAGGAGTAAACTGTGCTTCTATCCAAGAAAAATGTGGGTCTCGCAGCAGGTGGTAGAGAACTAGTATCATCACCACTGAGCATCACCATGACATCAGACATCGTAGGTCGGTCCATGGGACTCTGCTGAAGGCACAACAAACCAATGTTAACGCATTTTAGCACCTCGGTCTCTGAGTAATTTCTCTCCAGAGAATCATCTATCATCTCTGCAATTGTTCCCTCGGTCCAGTGCCTCCATACCTAGCATCGGTTTCATGGGTTCACAATGAGAAACAATATAATCTAGCAACATACAAGTACTATTACATGTACGATATACAGTGTGTTTGTTGGCACTCACAAGGCTTATAATATCTTCATTTTGCTCATCATAGAAGTAATGCCCCGTGTTTCTCCACCCTGTTACGATCTCTATAACAAGGATCCCGAAACTGAACACATCTGATTTTGTGGAAAACTGCCCACGCATCACGTACTCAGGAGACATGTAGCCACTGCGACGAGAAGAATTAGCGACATGGTTAGTTACAGAGAATTCTGTGTCAGAAAAGGGATACTTAAATAATAGCTACTAGATAATAAAGATTGATTACAATGTCCCGACAATGTGTTTTGTGAGATCTCTAGTCTGATCTTGCTCAAAGAGCCTAGCTAGGCCAAAGTCTCCAATCTTAGGATTCATGTCTGCATCCAACAAAACATTGCTCGCTTTCATGTCACGATGTATTATCTTCTTTTGAGATTCCTCATGGAGATATTGTAATCCTCTAGCAACTCCTTCTATTATGTTGAACCGTTTCCTCCAGTCTAGCTGCATTTTTTCCTCGGGGTCTAACAAACAATCAAATTTTGATGTTATAAGTAGAGATGCTTAAAAATTATAAATTCTTTTGTAAAGATTATTTCTAGTACCAAAAATAATAGTATCGAGGCTTTTGTTGGGCATGTACTCATAGACAAGCAATCTTTCTCCCTCTTCTAAGCAGAAACCTTCTACGCGAACGAGGTTCTTGTGGTGAAGTTTGGCAACCAGAACTAGTTCATTTTTTAGTTCTTCTAGCCCCTGACCCGAACCCTTTGACATCCTCTTCACAGCCACTTCCTGTCCGGAAAGATCTCCCTACAAAAAATTATTATCTTCCATGAAGTTGATTAAACGATACAATATAAATGCTAAAAAGTTCTAAAAGCTTCATGTATTACAATTCACAATAATTGAGTATGATTACTTTTTAATGAACTTGAGTTCTAAATTGATGCTTTATAGTCATACTCTAACAATCCTTTGTATAAACCAATTGATGTATGTTGTCCAGTAATCATGCATATTCTTTTACATAAAAGCTTGCTACAAACTTGCACATGAGCAAGTATTGAAAGGGTGTCATCATACCTTATAAACTACACCGAATCCCCCTTCACCAAGTTTATTGCTTTCATCAAAGTTATTTGTTGCAACTTGTAGTGATGATAATGATAATAATGTTGACTTGATGCTTCCGAAGTCCTCAACCGTATGAGCTGGTAAATTTGCGTCATTTCAATTGTCAGTGCTAAATAATAAAAGTTATTATACGGTCATACCAAGCAGTATATAGGACTTACTTCCATGGGGTAGCTTTATTCCTCGAGATCTTCTCTTTTTACAAACATATAGGGCTATGGCAGTTACTACAACAACAAACACTATAGGCAATATGATTCCAAAAAGCTTGCCCTCTGAATTATTTTTACCTGTGATTTTCCCAAAAAGAAACTCAGTTCAATGGAGCTCGATATTGTATCCAAAAGTGTAAAGGAATCTAGACAGAACAATGGAGCTAATACTAGTTGTTTCCACAATAGTGATCAACATACTTTGCATTCGATCCCTTACAAGATGAATACTAGGATTTTTTTAAAAAAAAATAGACAGGAAAATTATCAAAAGGAGAAAGTTTTGGCAAAATCAAGAGCACTACAATTTTATCGGGACACTTAAGTGAGAACACCAAAAAACTACTTCCTCAAGTCAATCTAGGTTTTAAGTCAAACTTTTTACCATAAGTATATAAATATCTTGAATTTATAGATTGACAAATGTCAATATTTACTTGTTTCATTGTAAAATATAGTTATAATAACATATGCATGGCTCTTTGTTTCTAATATAATATACTTTTATATATGTTGTAAGTCAAAATTTCATATTACAGAGTATACGAAAAGCAAAGTACTTTCTCCAATAGAAGAGGAATTCAACAATCAAGTATACTAATACGAGTATGTAGTTTGAGTAGTTCTTTTTTCAGATGATTATCCAAAATTGAAGGCAATTGTCCTCACTTCAACTTTAAAAAGTCCTTTTTTTCCTTTTCTGATGGAAATTTTGTTGCTTACTCTTTTTCTTCCTTTATTTACATATTAATCAATATCACGATGAATGTTCGATTAACCAAACGCATTAACTTACTAATATAACATCAGATCAATTATATGTTTGCAATAAGAGAGTAGTTGAAAGTTGATTGGTCACGAAGTTAGTTAATCAACCTATTTATTATCTTAGTATTTAACCAACAAAAGGAGCCTCCATATTAATTCTTAAGTCATAGAAGATACCACATTAATCGGAAGAAATAAAATCAAAGTGTCTGTTAAACACGTTGATAAATTATCTGCCATTGCCATTACACACCAAAAATCTCAAAATACCATTATCGCTATTCCACTATTATCCACCCATGCCATTAGTAAGAAAAACATGAAGCCAGTAAAAAGAGATAGAAAAACATGCATGAAGCCAGCCACACACGTGTCTGCGTCATACTTAACGTATTTAAGATTGAAATTAAAATGGTATGATGTATGCTAAAAATACAAACATACTAGTTGTTGTTTTTTAAAAAAAATACACGGAATAGAGCTGTTAGATGGGGCGGAAAGGGTAAACAAATGGATTGTTGATCTACCTAGTCACACCATCAAACGGATTGTGCCTAATCACACCATATCAAGCTTAAACTATACAGGATGCTAAATGTAGTTGTCAAATGGAATAGAACAAGCGCTCACCTGCCGTGGAAGGCGCCGGCGCGGGAACGACCACTTCGCCGTTCATCTGGAGCTTCACCATCGGGCTGTTGGTGTAGAACTTGTCCCCAAGGTCAGACCTGAGGTTGCACCGCGAGCCAGCGAACCTCGCGCTTGCCCCGTCGGGCTTGAACCCTCTCGTTCCACCACAGTGCCATCAGGTCGTCCAGGCACCTCCGGCACTGCGCCGGCGTCAGGTCCCCCGCGCACTGCGCCAGGGACCAGATGTTGGGGACCCGCGGGTCGAGCCCCACGAGCTGCCCCACCGCGAAGTAGAGACTCGGCGACGACGACGACGGGGCGAGCTGCTGTCCACCGCGTACTGCGCGGTGGCGTTGAGCAGCCGCCTGAGCGCGCCGCGTCGTAGGCGGCGACGTCGACGCCGCCGGCGATGGTGGCGCCGCCGACGACGCGCACCATGCCGGTGTTGTTGGGCGAGGCGAGGAAGTTCGTGCCCGCGACGCGGACGTAGCACTGGTTGTAGACGAGCGCGGCGTCCCGGGTGCGGTTGCAGAGCGGCTGCACGTCCTGCCACGCGCGGGTGCCGCAGTCGAAGCAGTCGCTGGTGCTGACGTCGCCGCGGCAGATCATGAGTCCGTAGACGACGGCGGTGCCCGCGCCCGCGCCGACGAAGCCCGACGCGAAGTTGGCGGGCGAGGCTGACGCGTTCGTCTGGAGGTCCAGGATGAGCTGCTGGGTGTTGTTGCCGTAGGCGCTGCCGGCCGCGTAGTTGCCGCTGGCGCCGTCGCAGCTCGGCCACGGCTGCGCGCGGCGGCGAAGGGGGCGAAAGCGTGGCGGCCGACGACGCGAGCAGCACTGCTGCTAGCAGGACAGTGACGCGAGCGACGCGGCCGTGCATGGCCGCGGGCGAAGGGAGGAAGGATGTGTGAGCTGGACTAGTGGTGCAGACAAACTTGGCAGCTTGGGCACGGAGGAGCTCAAGGCAAGAGGACGACGCACCAGCGCGACGCATTGCGATGGTCAATGGCAGTAGCCAGACCAGAGCAGACCACGTGTCTCAGGTCGGTAATATTTTGATCGATTCTCGAGTGAGGCTGATGATAAGTTAGGCATCCACTGGAAGCTGGATGGATTAAACTAAACAAAGCCTGGGCCGTCGACGTCACCGGACATGATAGGGCGGTAGAGCAAAACCATAGCTTGCGGGAACAGAAGATAGCGGCGTGGCTGGTGGTTTTCTTCAGTCGCGGATCGGAGACGGCTGCGAGTTGTGCACAGAATAAGGCCTCGTTCGCCATGAATCCTGTTCAGTGTTTGCAGCGCCCCGCCGCTTGCACACGAGACGAACCGCGGTGGTCCAATCGAGCGCGACGTACGCGCGCGGCGGACACCGGTGCCTTTCGGGATCTGCCCTACGTGGAGGTGTGTGTTTGGATGCTACTACGGCCCTGTTTGGGGCAGCGTAGGAATAAGCAAGTAATCCCGCACAAACGGCCCGCGTTCGGTGTCCAGTCGCGAACGCGCTTCCGCGATCTCCCGTCGCCCGCAGCGTATCCGAAAAAGCGAGCCTTACCCCGCGTTTCTGAAATCGCGTCGGCTTTTCCTCTCCATGCCCCTCCCTCCCTCCCTCCCGACACCGTGCTCCCGTTCGCTCCCTCCCCGGCGCCGCCTACCATCCCCCAACGCTTTGCCGCCTGCCCTCCCTCCTCTCTCCAGATTCGCCGCCGCCTCCCATTCCCCAACCCCTGCTCGCCTCCCATTCCCTCCCCTCGGCCGGATCTGAAGGAAGGGCCTCCCATCCACCTCCACCGGTGCTCCAGCCAGGGTGCCGTCATCCCTCCCCTCCGCCTGCGCCGGATCTCCAGCCGGGCGCCGTCATCCCTCCCCTCCCCCTCCGCAGAGGACCAGTCTGGGCGTCGGTGCTCCTCCCAGTGTGTGGCTTTCCTCCCCTTCCCCGGTGCTCCAGGCGTGCCGGATCTCTGAGCCTGCTCCGGATCGACCAGCCTAGGCGTCGGTGCTCCTCCCAGCGGCCTTCCTCCCCTTCCGCTGGAGCTCCGGCTGCCGGATCTGCAGCTGCCTGCGGATCCGCCGGTGCGCCAGCCTGCTCCGGATCCAGCAAGGGCTCTATCCCCACCACCGGCTGCCGCTCCGGATCTCCGACCTCGACGTCCTCGACGACCTCCACCGCCTGCTGCTGCTCCATCCCCACCACCGGCTGCTGTCCAGCAAGGTGAGCATGCAACACTGGTGGCCTTGCTTTCACTTGTCTGAAAATGCATACTGCTAGTGCCAATGCTTGCTGAAAATGCATCATTTGTCTGAAACTATGGCTCAATGCTTGTTGTGTAATTTGGTTCTGTGTTGCTTGGATTAAACAATGGGCGCGGCACGGTGGTGATTCTGATTCAACAGAGGAATGAAAGGTTGCACGAGCAGCTGCTACTTCTACTACTGCTAGCTGTATTATTCAGGATAGTGAGCTGATGAACCACTGACAACTGATCATTTTTTATTTCCAGCGTAGTAGTGCTTTGTGCTTAACAAATCCTTGCAGACTCTGCACCTGTGTGCCTGTGCATCCATGGCAGCTAAGCTAGCTGCTTCCAGGCAGCTGCAGTGGCTGCCGAGTGCTTAGGATCACTCGATCGATTTGCAACGGGCTCTGACAAATTACAATCGTCCAAGATAATAATAGGCACTGCAATTTATATTAGTCCTTGCTATCACTTGTCTGAAAATGCATACTGCTAGTGCCGGGTGCTTAGGATCACTTCGATCTGGAGAACACTGACCTTGTAATTTATATCAGTCCATACTGCTAGTGCTCTGTTTGTTGTTTGCTCTGTTTGCAAAATGCAGTTTGGTTATGTAGGATTGCAGTGCTCTGTTTCATGCTCAGTTTGGTTCCAAAGTACAAGATGTTTAATTAGGCAGTTGTGTTTTATAGATGAAAAAAACATCAAAACCGTAAGCAAAATGGGATACTTTTGTCGCCAAAGTTTTCAATGAAATATGCATAGAAGAAGTGCTTGCCCATAACAGGCCACACAATTGCTTGAATAGTGTGGGTTATGCTAATTTAGTGAAGAAGTTCTTTGAGCGAACAAAGAGGCCATATGACAAAGAGCAAATGAAGAACAGATGAGATGTACTGAAGAAGAAATATGCACAGTGGAAGACCTTGAACATGAGAGCCACTGGGTTGGGAAGGGATCCTGTGACCGGATGTATCTCTGCCAGTGATGAATGGTGGACAGAACAAAATGCAGTGAGTAGTTAAGATGTCGTCTTTTGTATTTTAGTACTCAACGGCATGCCATCCTCTAATTGTTATCATTTAATGTTTCAGGCTATGCCAGGATGTACAAGTTTCAAAACTGCAGTTCTTGAGCACGAGGAAATGATGCGGATAATGTTTGATGCTATTAGTGTGACTAATGAGACATCCTATGTTCCTGGAAGTGGTCCTGACGATGGAGAGGGTGAGGAGCATGAGGCCGGTCATGGTGATGGTGATAGTGAGAGAGTCGAAGGGAGAGGTTCACCACATGTCACACCAAATGCTAACAAAAGACCAGCTCAAGGTTCCCCATCTGGAAAGAAAAAGAAGACATATAGAAATCAACTTATGAAGAGGTTGGTCGACACATATGAGAAGAAGGCCCAAAGTAGTAAAAATTCAGTAACTTCTCACGCGGTTGATCATGTTAGAGATGAGATTGGGGCTATGTTGGAGCAAGTCATTAACGATGGTGCTGAAGAAGGGAGTGATGAACACTACTATGCCACCCAATTGCTTAAGAAAAAGGAAAACCGTGATGCGTTCGTTACTTTGAAGACACCGAATGGGAGGCTTAATTGGCTGAGGCGGGCATGGGAGGACCGGAAAATTTAGTGTTGTTATGTAGTAGTAAAATAAATTGTTCAGTTCCAGACATTATTTGATGAAAATTTAGTGTTGTAATGGGTACATTATTTGATGATTTATGTCATGACTTTGCTTGTGCGAATAATTATTTCTGTGTATATGCTTCCTCTGTTCCTTTGCTCATGCTTCATAATGTGTACCTATTTTAGGTGCTGAAATCAATATGAGCATCTCCAGTGATGAGGATGCAAGTCAGGATGAATCGGGTACTGATGAGGATTTCATGGTTGCATATATTGCAATGGAATTGATGGGGTCAACAAACAGTGTTGCAAAGAACAAGGATGTGGTTCCGGATGTACCAGTCATGACAGGGATACAATGGGTTGAAATCCAACTAAATGATAGAGTGCAGTGCTACAACATGTTTAGAATGACAAGGTCAGTGTTCCATCGCCTTCATCGGACTTTGGTTCAGAATTATGGCTTGAGATCAACTAATGATATTTGTACCAAGGAAGCCTTAGGCTTGTTTTTGTGGACATGTGGTGCACCTCAATCGTTTAGACAAGTTGCAAATAGGTTTGGTCATTCTTTAGAAACTATCAGTAGAAAGTTTAGTGAGGTACTTGACTCAATTTGTAGACTGTCTATTGACATCATAAGACCTAAGGATCCACATTTTGGTACAGTTCATCCAAAACTGCAGCAAGCTAGGTTCTGGCCTCATTTCAACGATTGCATAGGCGCCATTGATGGTACACACATACATGTAACTGTACCAAAAAGTGAACAGGAAAAATACATTGGACGACATGGTTATGCTCCACAAAATGTCATGGCGGTTTGTGACTTCGATATGTGGTTCACATTTGTTGTCACGGGTTAGGCTGGATCTGCTCATGACACTCGGGTATTTTTTGATACTTTAGTCACCTACAAGGATAAATTTCCACATCCACCTGAAGGCAAGTATTACCTTGTTGATTCTGGGTATCCTAATAGAAAAGGATATCTAGCACCTTACAAGGGACAAAGGTATCATGTGCCTGAATGGCAACATGGTCGTCATGTAGTGGGATCAAAGGAGGTGTTCAACTATGCTCATGCATCCCTCCGAAATGTGATTGAGCGGTCATTTGGAGTTCTCAAGATGAAGTGGCGCACTCTCTTGCAGTTACCTAGCTATCCAATTGAGAAGCAATCAAAGATTATCGTTGCTTGCATGGCTCTTCATAATTTCATTAGAGACAATGCCATATATGATGAACATTTTGAAACATATGTGGAAGACAGTAGTGGTGTTGGGTCCCAAGTTCCTTCAGCTGATGGTGGTGGTTCGGCGGATGATATGAACATGTGTGCTTTCCGTGATGCTATTGCTAATGCGTTGGTTGGGTGATTCATTGTTAGAAACTTGAGTATTTTGTAGCAATTACATTACCCAAATGGATGTTATTTTTGACTATTATTGTACATTGCAACTTAATGGAGTCATATTGTTATCTGAAACTTTAAAAATATTCCCACCATTGTCTTCAGATCATTGTGACGAGTCAAAAGAGGTATAATCAGCCGCAGGGGTATATAGGTCAATTTACATCCAGGACAGATAATCTACCAGAAATAATCAGGACAGCCAAATGCCCAACTTATTCAGACAGCAGATTCTCCAGATCGTGGCTTATCAGATAAGTCCGCTCAACTTATAAGCAAGACTCAGGAAAGCTGAAACAAACAGGCGCTACATCGTTTCGGAACCATGCCAAGAATGACACGCCGTCGTCTTTCTCTTCGCCCTTGGTTGCCTGGCAGCACACAGTAGCGTTGTCGTCTTCTCCCGCCACTTGGGCCCCGGGAGCGATCTTCCACTGTAGGAGTAGCAGCCAAGAGCATCGGGGAGGTGAACCTGTCACTGTCACCATGGCCGGTAGGCCGCCCTGTTGCCAACTTGCCATGGCGAGGGTGGTGAGGCAGGCAAGCAGGCACGGCCACTCGCCACTGGCCACACTGCTCTCTCTGCTGTCTGTCTTTCGTGGAGCCTTTCGCGTTGCGCTTGCGCACACCGCATATTTTCGACCTTTTGGCCCACTCCAGCCCAGTGCTGTCACGCTGCCGACCCGCCTCGGTTACTACTCCCCACTTCGGCCCACGAGCTATGGGTTGCTGCTTGCGGAGGTGTCCGCGCAGTGGCTCGGGCGACTCGAGGCCCACTTGTTTTTTTTTTTTTTTGACAACAGATGCCCACTTGTTGACTGCCACTCATCAGTGCAGCAAAACCATTTCGGTGTTGCTCAAAAACAAAAAAAAATTCGGAGAAATTAAAGGGAGTTGCAGGCTGCAGCAGAGGCAGGACGACGGCTTTATCTGCACGGTAGCTTCGCATCGCATGCATGATCATCGAACCACAACAAGTTTAATTTGCAAGTGGCAATCAGTCAGCTCGATTGCTCGAAAATGTACTCGCAATTCAATGGTCCAGTCTTCTAGAAGAGCGAAGATGAACAAACACCGGGAGCACCAGTGCAGCAAAACCACTCGGAGTGTCAGACTGTCAGTTTGAGGCTACCCACTGACGCTACCAGCTTACCACGGGAGATTATGAGCGCGAGCGATTTCCTCGAAAAGAAGAGTACTACGAGTGATGATACTGAAGTCGGCCTGCAGGGCATTCCATGCATCTGCGGGCGCTGAACAGATTGAAAATAGATATAGACATATAGGCCTGGTTTAGATTGCCTCAAAATTCCAAGTTTTTTCACTCTCTCTTCATCACATTAATTTTTGGATGTATGTATGGAGCATTAAATGTAGGTAAAAAAAATAACTAATTACATAGTTTGGTTGTAAATCACGAGACGAATCTTTTGAGCCTAGTTAGTTCATGATCGGACAAAGTTTGTCAAATACAAACGAAACGTACTACAGTGTCCAGATTGCAAAAATTTACAATCTAAACAAGGCCATAGTAAGAAACTTTTCGATGATCATGCGAAGCACAACCTCGATCGAGAGTTCCACGCGATCTGCTGGTCCGGGAGGAACCAATCACAATCAGTGGACCTGTGTAGTCGTGCTCACGTAGTGCAGCACCGAATCAAAGGCGAGGCGGGGAACCGAAATCACACTTGTGGCTCTCCAAGGTCAAACCATAAGCATACCATCTTCCATTGACCTTGCAGCCTCAATGCAAGGATGGTTCACGCCTGGCACTAAACGTCTCAGGTGCAGTGTACAGTTAATCATTTCGATTCCGAAATTCATTTGAAAATTGAACAGAGCGTGAATACCCACCAGATTCTCCAACTGGTAGTGTGTCTTCTCCCTGCTACAGGCATGTGTTTCATGGTCGGCCACAAACGCTACTCCGCTTGGCAAAGAAAGGGAATTTCTTTTAGTAGGGGCTCCCGAGCCCCTCCTGTTTCCTCAAAAAAAAAAAAAGGGAATTTCTTTGCATGTTCTCTTATATATGGTCCTATCAGCTTTGCTGTGGCAATATATCGCAGCACACGCTATATATCCAAAGGCATATATACCGACCCGACGCCGAAGCAATTCGGTCGACCACTCGAGGACACGGGGAACATGAAGATCATCTCCGGAACAGTACTGCTCGCCGCAGTGGCGGTTGCGGCGTTGGCCGCGACGGCGTCGGCCAAGGACTACACGGTGGGCGGCTCCGACCAGTGGGACACCTACATCGACTACGACAAGTGGACCGCCGGCAAGAAGTTCATGGTCGACGACACCATAAGTGCGTAGACTACTCCGATCGATGCTCTCTTCATTCGCTTATCTGTACATTCCGATCCTTCCCATCTTGTGGCTGATGTGCTGGAGTGTAATACGTACGTACATTTGCAGCGTTCAAGTACATGCCGTACCACAACGTGCTGGAGGTGACGGCGGCGGACTACGCCAGCTGCAACGCGGACAGCCCCATCTCCACCCACTCCGGCGGCAACACCGTCTTCAAGCTCACCGCCACGGGCACCCGCTACTTCATCTGCGGCATCCCGCGCCACTGCCTCAACGGCACCATGCACGTCACGATCACCACCGTCCCCTACGACGCCGCCGCCGCGGCGGCGGCAGCTGACGACGCCCCCGCAAGCGGCCCCGCGCAGGCTCCGCTCCAGTCGCCTCCAGCCGACGCCTACGCGCCAGGGCCGGCGGGACACAAGCAGGGGGTGTTCCTGGGCGGCGGCGCTGCCGGGAAGTCGCCGGCGGGCGCGCCCAGCAACGCGCCGCGGTATGGGCAGCCCGTGGCCGCGGTGGTCGGGCTGGCGTTGGCTGCTCTGGTGGCCTTGGTCGCCTAAGCTAGCAACGTGCGCGTACCGGCACGCACGTTGTAGTTTTGAGTTACTACTGTGCCTGAAACTGGACATTTGCTACTGCGTACGTACACGCGGTATCTAAGTTGTATTTACCTTTAATATTCATTTCTGCTTCCTCTTTTTACTTTTGTCGTGTATTTACATTTGGTATATGGGTGTACATTGTGACATTTACTTCTTATAATTCCATTTTGAGGCCCGCATTGGTTATGTCGTCAGTGAATCCATTTCAGAAATATGTTGCAAGGCAGAACAGTATTTCCGAGTTTGAGTCAGATATAATATCTTCTTGCTATGTACAAGAAAACGATCTAATGTTTTCCAAACAGTTCAGCAATATGAATTTGGCTTTACAAAATCCAATGATCTTTCTTAGGCCTTGTTCGGTTACTCAGTATTCCTCCCTGGAATCAATCTAGGTGATCAAAACTTATACAAATTATGCGAGCAAACCGGATAGGAATGATTCTATGCCACAGTTCCCCTTGAAACGAACGGGCCTTAAGCAGAAAGAAGACTGATACCCCATATCATTTCAGGCAGAGGAACATGGTTAATGGCGGGCACGTCTAGCTTGCTAACAGGCGATCACGTTATACCAAACACACAGCTAGCATGTAATGCGCATCCACGATGCTTCCACTTTCTACCAACACCCGCCATTAGTTTTCACATGTGAGGAACACGATACCAGCTCAGGTCCAAGAAACATATAGCCATAACCTAGTTAGAGCCACATCGTGGGTTATACGACAAACAGGCAAGAATAGACATAAGCTAATCGACTAATCCTCATTTGCTTCTGGTCACGGAATTTATTCATTTATTATACCATATAATATAATATAATATACAAAGGGGCCATCCGACACATATAACCTTCGCCTTCAGTTCTGGAGTCAACTACACCAACACTGCGTACCGATCTAGGTTTGAATCAATGGAGGGCAGCATCGCCTCTTTCCACCAGGATTTTGCTTGCTTACGCCACAGGAGGGCAAGACTTGGTGTCGTCAGAGGTGTCAACATCAGAAGGCGGCATAAACTGCCACATCGGGAATCCAGGGTAGCCAAGCACAGGCATCATCATATCAGCTTGTGCCCGGCCGCTGCCGGCCCCTGGGGAGCAGCGAAGGCAGAGGCTGGGATCACCGGGTGGTGTGGTACCAGGCTTGGGCGGGCATTCAGGAACTTGATCTGCTGCTCCAGGCTCTCCTTCTCGGCCTTCAGCCTTTGCTTCTCGTCTCGCAGCTCATTCTTCTCAGCCTGCAAAAGCAAAGTACTTCAGGGTGAGATTGTTTTCCTGATGAACAACCAGCAAAATCAAATGCCAAAACCTTGTGCAGTAAACGATATGCTGAATCATAAACCTCTATATATTTTATGGAACACATATCCAAGCAAAGAAGTGTATACAGTAGAGCAAAGACTTAGCAAATTGACGTGTTGTCCATATTGTATATACAGCCGCAGGGTTTAGCCATTTAAGAAAAATGCATTATGTGGATATAAACTTGATACTGCAAGCAACCCAAAATAAGTTAAACCACAAACTGCAGGGAGAATAAGAGGTGTACAAATAACTATTCCCTTTTTATTTGACTGGATGAATTAAATATAGATAAGAAAAAATGACCAAATGGGAAAAGGGGATCATAAATCAAGAAAATGAAACAGTATGAAGTGTGTAAACAACATCGCGTGCCATCTCCCATCTGAACAGCACCATTAATAACTTGGCCATATGAAATAGTATAGACCTTCAGCTCTTTAATCTTCTCCTGCAAACTCTCATTTGAGTCCTTCAGCTTTTTTGCTTCGCTACGCAATTCATCTACTACACGAATAGCATCATTCAATATAGCTGATTTGTCCATTTTAGGAGTTTTCCCTGGCTCCAAAATGGCACCCAATTCCAGGAATCTAACAAAAAGAATATCATAAGTACAGTTATAGTAACTAATACAATAATGTGACAAGAAAAAAAGATTAAACTATGAACTGAAATGCAATCATTGTCTAGCCAGGGAACATACCTCTCGTTCAGCTTGTCCCTTCTAATTTTCTCCCTGGATGCTTTTGTGCTTGGTTCTGCAGTACTTTCTGACCTAGGACTGGAATATTAAACATTCAATGATAATAGGAACACAAACTTAAAAATGTATGGCTGCAATACGCGATACAAACTACAAAGAATAAAGATACAACCCGTTTATTTGTTGGTTGTTCTTTTCCCTGACCACAATCCACAGAGCTACTGATTTCCACACTGCTAAAATAGAAGCCAATGTTAGGATGCCAAATATCAAGATAATGCACCATAATAAGCAGCAAGAAAACAAATAACATGGCATGGTAAACAAAATATTTATGCAAGAAAATCTAAGATAATAATGAGTAAATAAAAAATCACTGCTTGACGCGTTTCAACTTAGATAATAGCAAGTCATAACCCTACAAACTACATCAAACGAAATATTCGTGGCTAGAAATAGAAGAAGAATTTACCATAGATAGCACACAATACAACTGTTTAAAGCAGCCAACCTAATACCTCCAAATTTCTCCAACTTAACATCAAAGATGAGCTTGTATGTACTAAAGAGCAAGCTCAATCAGACAGAATGTCAGTTCACAAAAGAAACAGAGTTGTCAAAACTCCAGCACAATATGGTAATCCTCTTCACACAAATCATGAAGGATTCAATTACAACAACTTGAGTGCAGATTCCATGTCTGCAATCCTTTTCTGCAATCCTTTTCAATCCAGATTATATTGACCAAAAAGAAGACAAAAAATCTATTCTTCCCTGTGAACAAGGGTAGTAACTAGCCATATAAAGATCCAACAATAGAGCAGCCAAGAGTTGATTGCAGAATGGGGACTGTATGTTTCTAACAGATTCTGCAAACTACTATCTCTGGTCAATAATATTTGACACATTTGACTTAGAGTGGTCTTCGATACGTATCCTTGACCACTATTTTTTTTACAAAATAAATTCTTCAAATTTAAGAGATTTTGCAAGTATTTCCAAATAAATAATGTAATAGTTATCAATGTTTGTAGTTTCTAAGGTTTGACTAAATATTTTCACTAGCGACATGTTTTTTTTGACCGGAGAGGGAGTATAGATGACACAAAAGTGTGCACAAAGGCAACCATCTAGGCTAGATGAGGAGCCTTATAACACTACCTATATGCACCTACCCAGCAGCTGAACACAATAAGATGTGAACAGTACTTTCCACCATGCTACTTAGAACTTAGGTGGCGTTTGGATAGGTGTTAGGATAGGGATAGGGAAATATAGCTGGGTAAGAAAGAGGGGTTATGGGATAGGGTTGTGATGTTTTATACCCATACCCATGTTTGGTTTGTCTAGGTTTGGGTTAAGGAAATGCTGTGGGGCAAAAAGAATAACAACAACAACAACATAGTCTTTCAGTCCCAAGCAAGTTGGGGTAGGCTAGAGTTGAAACCCACCAAGAGCCCCTAGTCACGGTTCAGGCACTTCAATAGCTGCTTTCCAAGCACTCCTATTCAAACATAGATCTCTAGGTATATCCTAAACTTTCAAATCTCTTTTTATTGCCTCCCCCCATGAGAATTTCAGTCTTCCTCTATCTCTCGTCATATTATTAGCTTGGCTTAGGACTCCACAGTGCACTGGTGCCACTGGAGGTCTTCTTTGGACATGGCCAAACCACCTCAACCGATGTTGGACAGGCCTTTTTTCAATTGGTGCTACCTCTAGGCAATCACGTATATCATCGTTCCGAATTCGGTCCATTCTTTTGTGACCACAAATCCATCGCAATATATGCATTTCTGCAACACTCAGTTATTGAACATGTTGAATCTTTGTAGGCCAACATTCTGCTCCATACAACATAGCCGGTCTAATTGTTGTTCTATAAAACTTGCCTTTTAGCTTTTGTGGTAACCTCTTGTCACAGAGAATGTCAGAAGCTTGTCGCCACTTGATCCACCCTGCTTTGATTATATGACTAACGTCCGCATCAATATCTCCATCCCTCTATAGCATCGATCCCAGATACCGAAATGTATCCTTCTTAGGCACTACTTGACCTTTCAAACTCACATCTCCCTCCTCATATGCAGCTCCACCAAAGTCGTATCTCATGTATTCGGTTTTAGTTCTGCTCAATCTAAAACCTTTAGACTCAAAGATCTGCCGTCATAACTCTAGTTTCCTATTTACTCCCGCCTGGCTTTCGTCCACTAACACTACATCATCAGCGAACAACATACACCAAGGGATATCCTCTTGTATGTTCCTGGTAACCTCATCCATTACCAAGGCAAAGCGATATGGGCTTAAGGATGACCCTTGATGAAGTCCAATTTTAATCGAGAAGTAATCTGTGTTACCATCATTTGTTCGAACACTAGTCACAACATTGTTGTCTATGTCCTTGATGAGGGCCACGTACTTTGATGGGAATTTATGTTTGTCCAAAGCCCACCAGATAACATTTCTTGGTATCTTGTCATAAGCCTTCTCCAAGTCAATGAAAACCATGTGGAGGTCCTTCTTCTGCTCTCTAAACCGCTCCATAACTTATCTTATTAAGAAGATTGCTTCTGTGGTTGACTTTTCGGGCACGAAACCAAATTGGTTTGTTGATATCTGCGTCGTTCCTCACAGGCGCTGCTCAATGACTCTCTTCCATAACTTCATAGTGTGGCTCATCAACTTAATTTCCCGATAATTAGTACAACTTTGGATATCTCCCTTGTTCTTGTAGATTGGTACCAATATGCTTCTTCTTCACTCCTCAGACATCTTGTTCGATCGAAAGATATTGTTGAAAATCTTGGTTAGACATACTATAGCTATATCCCCGAGACATCTCCACACCTTGATTGGGATACCATCAGGGCCCATCGCTTTGCCCTCTTTCATCATTTTAAGGCTTCTCTGACCTCCGATTCTTGAATCCTCTGCACAAAGCGCCTGTTAGTGTCATCAAATGAGTCATCCAGCTGAACGGTGGTGTTCTCGTTCTCACCATTGAATAATTTATCAAAATACTCTTGTCATCTATATCTGATCTCATCCTCCTTCACCAAGAGCTGCTCCCTCTCATCCTTTATGCACTTGACTTGGTTGAAGTCCCTTGTCTTCCTATCACGAGCCTTAGCCATCCTATAAATATCCTTCTCTCCTTCCTTCGTACTCAAATATTGGTAAAAGTCCTCATAGGCCCGTCCCTTTGCCTCACTCACCGCTCGTTTTGCAGTCTTCTTTGTCATCTTGTACTTCTCTATGTTGTCCGCATACCTATCATGATACAAGCACTTATAGCACTCCTTTTTCTTAATAGCCTTTTGCACATCTTCATTCCACCACCAAGTGTCTTTCGAGTCGCATCCACTCCCTTTGGTCACTCCAAGCACCTCTGAAGCAACCTTCCAAACACATGTTGCCATCTTCTCCCACATGCTGTTTGTATCGCCTTCATCCTTCCAAGGGCCCTATTCAATGACCTTTTCCTTAAAGACCTTTGATGCATCTCCTTCTAATTTCCACCACTTCATTCTAGCAACCCTAGCTTGTTTGTTCCTACGAGCTTGCACCAGAAAGCGGAAGTCAGCCGCCACCAGCTTGTGTTGAGCGACCACACATTCTTCAGGTATCACCTTACAGTCCACGCATGTTTGTTTATCCCTCTTTCTTGTAAGGACAAAGTCAATTTGACTAGAGTACTGGCCACTACTAAAGGTCACTAAATGAGACTGTCTCTTACGAAAGAAAGTGTTAGCTATCATCAGATCAAAAGCTAGCTATGGCGAAGTCTAAGACTTCGTCTCCCTCCTGGTTCCTACTATCATATCCGAAACCCCCATGAACCGCCTCGAAACCTGCACATGATGTACCTACATGGCCATTAAAATCACCTCCTATAAAGAGCTTCTCGCTACTAGGGACAGCTCTAACCAAGCGATCTAAGTCTTCCCAGAAAAGTTGTTTAGCACTCTCATCATGGCCTACTTGGGGGGCATACGCACTAATTATGTTTAAGACCATATCACTAATGACAAGTTTAACTAAGATGATCTTATCCCTTGCCTTCTCACCTCCACCACACCATCCTTGAGGCTCTTATCAATCAAAACTCCTACTCCATTTTTATTTAAAGTTATCCCTGTGTACCAGAGCTTGAAGCCGGTATTGTCCACCTCCTTCGCCTTCTACCCCTTCTATTTAGTCTCTTGGACGCATAAGATATTTACACACTTCCTAACGGTTGTGTCCACTAACTCTCTTAACTTACCCGTAAGGGACCCTACATTCCAGCTACCTAAACAGATCCTAGTTGGCTCGAAAGAAAGAAAAAAGAAAGAAAGAAAGAAAAACAAAACTGACACCTCCTCGCTCGTGGACCCTTATCTTCTTGTCATCCCTTCCACCGGTGGAGCGGGCATCGCCGTCAACTCTGGCCTCCTACCTAGTGGACCGTGCGGCTGCTCTGGCTAGGGCTCCCATAGCGCTGGCGGCCGGGGCTCCCGCGGTGCTGGCAGTGAGGGCGGTTGGCCTCCTGCGTTGAGGGCAGTTGGGGCTCTCGCTCCTCCAGTGGCGAGGCACTGCGGCTGGGCTTCATGCGTCATCGGTGGTGGGGGATGTACGTTCGGTGACGACCACGCCCTCCTCCCCATCGACAGCAACAGCAAGTGCGCAGCGCATCGATTCTTCTCCTTCTCTTTTCCGAGTTATAACCCACCCCTCCGGCTGGGTATGGATCGGTGGGATATGAACTCATCCTATCCCTAACCCATACCCAGTTCGTATCCATTTTCTTATATCCAAACAAGGGTTAAGGTATCCATCTTCCATCATTTCCCATACCCACTATTATTTTCCCACAATCCAAACTCCACCTTACAGTAAAGGTCCACTAACCCATCCAGTGTGAACCAATTCCTCAGTCCTCCCACATGGCACCACTAGCAGAACCAACACAGAGTCCACACCTTCCACACTTCCACAGGGCCACGCTGATATAGTAAATTGGAAACAGAGAGGGCCCGTGTATCTAGTTCTACTTGTTCTGTTGCACATACACGATTTCTAATACACGGTCCAAAATCCCACCGTTCAGTCGCTTCATCGAACTCCAATTAAGCCATGGTCCATACAACAAACTACTATATATACATAAAGAATCTACATATTTCTTGGCAACGAACCCGACCAAATGTAACCCAAACCCACGAAATACATCACGGCCGAGGCCGAGCCCAAATCGGGACCGTACTCCAGCAATTACCATGGGTTGGGAGCCAACGCGGCAATGACAGGCTGCACCGGTGCCTGCACCACCTGCGGCTATAGCGCCGCCGCACCCGCCTAGAAGAACCCCCCCACGGGGGCTGCCGCGAAGTCAGCGGCCACCGCGAGGTCGTCCATGAGGGGACAGTCGAAGACCCACGTGGTTCCCTTGGGGGAGGCCATGGCGGGGGATCGCTGGGGCCAGCGGCAGATGGTCGGCGTAGGCTAGGGTTCAGCAGTCGCGTCAGCCGTCAGGGATTGGGGGATTCGGGGTAGAGGGCGGTGGGGACTGGGGTGGAAGCGGTCGTGGGCTCCGACGCCGAGATAATGATTGAGCTCAGCGGAGTTTCAAGTGATTGTGTGTGAGCACGAGGTTCACGAGTACGAATTATGGGCCGTGGGCTGGTGGGCTGAATGGTTGGAAGGATATTTTATG